CTGAGGATCCCCTCAGCTCAGAATCACGCGCGCGCCGCGCCGCATCACCCCTTCTCACAGAAGAAATCCAAAAAGTGCAAAAAGGCGGGCTGCAAGTGGAAGAAGAGCGAGGAGAAGTGCCTTTAGGGCCGAGCATAAGCATCCTAGCTTTGCGACTCACGAACGAGCGCCGCGTCGCGGGCGGAGCGGCGACGAGGACCGCTACGAGCCGCGCTGTAGACGAGTAGACGGCAAGCCCCAGTTTTACCCCCGCGCGGTCCCGTTGCACGCCCGCTCCGCGCGCTCGAGCAGCGCGGCGCAGCCCGGCGCGGTCCGCGCGGGCCGCGTGCGGCGCAGCTCCGCGAGCGTCGCCGCGGGCAGGCCCGGCGCGTCCGGCGCGACGGGCTCCCGGGCCCGCGGCGCGCCCGCCGGGTCCGCCGCGTCGAGGTTCGCGCGGCACCGCTTGTCGTTGCGGAGGTGGAACTCCGCGAGGACCGCCGGGCAGCCGCGCCGCGCGGCGAGCGCCCGCGCGAGGTCCGCGACGGCGCACGCGTCGTCGAGGACGGCCGCCTGGCCGTAGCGGGCCCGCGCGCGGTCGACGACGGCGCCGAAGTAGGCCGCGAGGCACGCCGGGCACCTGAGTGGAAATCAACCAGTGGAACGCCCTGTCCAGCAAAAACTTCAAACCTCTCGAGCTCGGTCACATCGAAGTCGATTCGGCTGATTTGTGGACGAATCGATTGCTCGCGTCGAGTTCTCGAAGCAGAGCCAAGAGCTCGCGTCGAAACTTTCAAATACGCTCAGATTGAAGTCGGGTTGAAGATTTGAATTCGGCACGGCCGGGCGCGCGAGCTCCGCGTCGACCGCGGCGGCGGCCGCGACGAGCGGCGCCGCCGCGGCCTCGCCGCCGCGCTCGAGGGCCTCGACGGCCGCGACGAGCGTCGCCGCGCCGACGGCGACGTGCGTCGTCCCCGGCACGAGCGCCGGGTAGTACCTGCGCGGCGGGGTTTCGGGCGCGCGCGCGCGATGCGAAGCCGCACCACTCGACGAAGGGCGCGTCCCAGAGCATCACCACCGCGCCGAGGGCCCAGAGGTGGTTCAGGTTCTTCGAGTAGGAGCCCGTCGTCGCGCCGGGCAGGTTGAGCACGTAGCGGTACGCGCTGTAGTCCGCGCGGTCCACGGGCGCGTCGCCGGCGATCAGCGTCGGCTCGCGGGCGACGCGGGCCATGTCCGCCGTGTAGGGCAGCGCCGCGCAGGGCCGGGCCACGGCGTCGCGGGGCCGGCAGTCCGTCGCCGCGGCCGTCGTGCACTTGACGTCGACCGCGTCCGGCCGGCGGAACGAGAGCGCCGCGGCGGCGAGGCGCGCGTGGTTGCCGTACTCGTACTCGCACTTGAGGGCGTCGCTCAGGTTGTTCGAGGCGTCGTGGGAGATGATGCGCCCGCGCCAGAAGGCCTGGGCGCGCCGCGACGCCCAGGGCGTCGCGCGGCCCCGCGCCAGAATCGCCGCGCGCGTCGCGTTCCAGTCGCGCGCGAGCGAGCCGTAGTAGGGGTTCGGGATGAGGATGCCCTTCTGTCTGAAGCCGCCCCGCTTGGCGATGACCAGCGGCGGCAGGCCCCGGTTGCCGCCGGCGTCCGTGCCCGACGACCCGGAGTGGAAGTCGTACGCGACGTTGCGCAGCGGAGCGCCCGCGGCGCAGAGCGACGCGAGGAACGCGACGTGCTTGACGCACTTCTCGCTCCGCGCCAGGAAGTCGCCGGCGACGTAGGCGCGGCCGTCGAAGACGAGGACCGTCGTCGTCGGCGCCCAGAGGCCGCCGCGGAGCGCCGCGGCGCCGTCGGCCGGCGGACCGAGGCGGTCGATGGACGCGTCGAGCGCGTCGAGCACGCGCGCCCAGCCGTCGCCGCGCCGCGGCGCCGCCGCGGCGACGACCGCGGCGACGAGTGCGACGCGCGCGACGGCGCTCATGGCAGGCGTTCGGACGCCGCCATCGTGGGCGGGCAGCCTCGTTCACGTCAAGGTTGGCGTCACCTTACGGCGCCGTCCCAGGCGTGGCGCGTCCGGTCGCGGTCGAGGATGCCGAGGGCCGCGAGGTAGTCGGCGTTGGAGCCCGCGCGGTCCTCGGCGCCGGCGACGAGGTACGCGTCCTCGACGTCGAGGGCCGCGTCGCCCGCGGGCCCCCGGAAGGCGAAGGTCCGCGCGCGCGGATCGCGCGCGTCGATGGAGTGGTGGAAGATCTCGTCGACGATGGGCTGCTCGCTGTGGCGGTCGCCGCCGTCGTCGCAGTAGCGGAAGTGCGGGCAGGCGTCGCGCATGGCCTGGCAGGGGAGCGCCATGGAGCCGGGGAAGCGCGCCGCCGCGTCGCCTCGCGTCATCTTCCGCGCGTCGTCGTACGCCAAATCCCGCCAGAGCTCGCCGCCGTAGGCCACGCAGCCGTGGGCGCCCGCGGCCTCGAGCACCGTGTGCCAGAGCGCGTACTGGTCCTTGAAGGAGCAGCGGTTCGCGAACCAGGCCGCGAAGAAGTTTCGGCCGAACGGCGCGTCGCGCGCGTAGAACCGGGAGCCGTGCACCTGGGCCACGAAAGGGTGAATCAATGTGGCTTCAACATGAGTCGTTCGCGCGCGCGTGTTCCAGAAAAAGCATGCCCGCTTCGAGAGCGCTCCGAGAGATGATCACTCGTCCAAGAATCGGCCGAAACGAGTGGAACACGGCCGACATAGGAGCCTTTGGGAATTGTCGCGCCCCTCGCGGCGCGGCCGCGCGCGCGCCACCAGAGCGTCGTCTCGCGCGAGTGCTTGAAGCTGACGTCGCTGAAGCCCGCGGCGTGGACGGCGAGCGTCGTCGCCGGCGGCGCCCAGGGCCAGGGCGTTACCGCGTCGAGGTCGACGTAGTACGCGCCGGCGACGGTCGGGTGCGCGAGCGCGGCGAGGACCGCGGGGACCTTGATGTAGTGGTTGCTGACCCAGGTCACGTCCTCGGCGCGGCGCGCGCCGCCGTGGCGCACGCCGTCGTAGAAGGACTCGAGGAGCGCGCGCGGCGGCGCCGGCGTCGCGTCGCGCGCGGGCTTGCTCGCGAGGCACGCGGGTTTGTCCGCGCCTGGGCAGCACAAGAGTGATTCAACGTCGCTTCAACGTGAGTGTTCCGCGCGCGCGCGTTACGGAAAACACATCCACGCTTCGAGACCGTTCCGAGGGATGATCGCTCGTCCAAAAGTCAGCCGAAACGAGTGGAAACTGGCCGAGATCGGAGCCTTTGAAGTTGGGAATTTCGCTCTCTTGTGCTGCCCCGGTCCGCGCGCTCGAGCGCCGGCGGCAGCTCGCCGATCCACAGGAAGGGCCGCAGGCCCGCGTCGCTCGCGTACAGGAGCTTGTTGAGGAAGAGGGGCCAGAGCCGGAAGAGGTAGCTCGCCGAGTTGGCGACCACGAGCAGCGCCGCGTCGCCCGTCCCGTTGCCGCCGGCGTACTCGCAGACCGCGGGCCGGCTCCGGAAGCGGCCGCCGCCGGACGCCGGCGCCGCGAAAAAGGCGCTGCCGTTGGCGAGCGCGAAGCGCAGCGCCGGCCCGCGCGGCGCGGCGCCCGCCGCCGCGAGCCCGACGGACGCGACGTCGAAGGTGCAGCCCGCGTCGATGGCGCCGAAGCCGGCCATCCAGGCGCAGTCGTCGCCGCCGCCGCAGCGACTCGCGTCGCCGGGCGTCGCCCACGCGGCCGCGTAGGCCTCGAGCGGGCCGGCGGCCGCGCAGGCCGCCAGCGCGGCGAGGACGACCGCCAATACGCCCATAATTATTTTGGGCAGCCTCCGAAACCTTTGACTTCAACAAAGCGGTTGAGGCTCTTTCAAGCTCTGCACGTGTGTGGCGCCCGGCGACCACACGATCCGAGGGCTGCTCCCCGGAATCGAATGGCCAGTTGGCACGAGGTACTGTCGTGCGGCGCCTACACGGAGGACGAGGACGAGATCCCCGCGGGAAAGATGGACGTCGAGCAGGGCGCCGGCGTGGAGCTGGCGACGCCCATGGGCGAGGCCGGCGGGCCCGCGAAGGCCGAGATGGCGCCGCCCGCGGGGGCCAAGGTCGCCAAGTTCCAGACGGCGGAGGCCGCGGCCCACCTCGATCACACGTGCGTGTCTGGAAACGACGCGCGACGCGCACGCTCGCTTTCGTAGGTCCACCGACAGATGCATGAAGACGCTCGGGCTCCTCGCCGTCGTCTGCGTGCTCGTGGTCTGCATCGGCGCGACCATCGCGACCTACCGCAAGTGAGCGCGCGGCGCCGCGAACCCCCCGGCCCCGGCGGGCGCCGCCGCCGCGCGGTAGAGCCCGCGACGTTTCCTAAGGCGCCGCGGCCTCGACGAGCGCGCGGTCCGCGGCGTCGTCGCCCGCGAGGGCCGAGGCGAGGGCGAGGAGCGCGGGCGCGCCCGCGTCGAGGGGCCGGGACGTGTCGTCGAGGCCGTCGCGGAGGCACCGGGGCAGCGCCGCGGGGAGGACGCGGTCCGCCGCGCGCGCGAGGCGCGCCTTCCGCGCGGCCTCGAGGGCCCGCGACGGCGGCGGCGCGCCGCCCGGCGGCGGCGGCGGCGCGTCGGCCCCGGCGGCGGCGGCGGCGCCGTCGCCGAGGCCCGCGACGACGCGCTTCGCCTGCCTCCGCGAGTTCGCGGCGTAGGCGCGCTCCTTGGCGGCGAGGAGCCGGCCCTCGCGCGCCGCGCGCGGGTCCGCCGCGTCGATGGCGAGGGCCGCCTCGACGTCCGCGCGCGCCTCGTCGTAGAGGTCGAGCTCGCGGCGCGCGGCCGCGCGGTAGCCGAGCGCCGCGACGTTGCCGGGATCCGCCTTGAGCGCCTGGTCGCAGTGGCCCGCGGCGTCGTGGTAGAGCCTCACCTCGAGGCTGCAGGCCGCGGCGCCGAGGAGCGCGCCGAGGCGCGCGCGGTCGAGCCGCGCCTGCGTCTCGTCGTCGTCGGGAAACGCGTACTCGTAGTAGGCCAGGCATTTCTGGAACGCCTGGACGGCCCGGTAGTAGACGCCCTCCTGGAAGAGGAGCACACCGCGGCCGCAGAAGACCTCGCAGCGCTCGAGCTTCTCCGAGGCCGGCAGCTCGAAGACGCGCCGCTCCTCGCTGCGGTCGAGGTTGCGGCAGCCCGTGCAGGCCCGCGCCATCTCGCGGTCGCGCTCCTCCTTCCGGGCGGCCGCCGTCGCCGCGTCCTCGGGGCCGTTGACTTCCAAATGGTCCCATTTCGCGTAGTCCGCCCAGACGAGGCTCGGCGTCTCGACCATGGTTTTTACGGCGCTTGTCCCGGCCAGTGCTTGTCCATTGTGGGGGGCTGCATCTTGACGGAAGTCAAGCGTTTGAGGCTCAAGTTGCAGCGTCCGACTTGCGACTGCGCCAAGCGTCCGCCACCTCTGTGTAGCCCTCGTTTCTGCCGCGCCGCGAGACGCGCGCCCGGCGCTGGTACACGACCGTCGACCACACGTACGTCGACCAGATCAGCCGCATCCCCGACGCCGACAGCTCGACGCGATGGACGACGACAGGCTCCAGGAGATCCTCGCCCAGAGCGGCGGCCGCTTGCTCAAGCCCGGCGAGAACCTCGACGTCGGCGAGCTGCAGCAGCAGCAGGCCAACGAGGAGGCGCAGATGCGGCTGATGCGGCAGCAGCAGGAGGCCGAGTCCTTCGAGAAGACGCGCGCGAAGCTCGTCGCCGAGGGCGGCGGCGGCGCGCTCCAGGAGCGGGCGACGGCCATGAAGGACCAGGCGAAGAAGTCGTTCGACGAGGGCCGGCCGCAGCAGGCGCTCGGCCTCTACCTGCTGGGCCTCTGGTTCTGCCGGGGCGGCCGCTTCCCGACGTCCATCGCGCCGTCGGCGCCCATGCCCCGGGGCCGCACCGTCGCCGAGGCCGCGGCCGGGTCGCCCGCGGACGGCGTCGACGCCGCGTTTTTTCTCACGCTCCTCTCGAACCTGAGCCTCTGCTGCCTCAAGCTCAAGGACTTCGCCGGCGCTCAGGCGACCGCGACGCAGGTGCTCGAGAGCCCGGCCTGCGACGAGGCCATGGCGAACAAGGCGCGGCTCCGCCTGGCGAAGGCGTCGCGCGAGGCCGGCGACCTCGCCAAGGCCGAGCGCGTGCTCCGCGACATCCTCAAGCAGGACGGCAAGCTCGGCCACACCATCGCCCGGCGCGAGCTCGAGGCCGTGCGCAAGCTCAAGGCCGCGGACAAGAAGCGCTTCCAGGGCCTCTTCGCCAAGGGCTCCGAGGACCTCTACAGCGAGTCCGAGCTCAAGGAGCGGCGCGCCGAGGCGCGCGCGGAGGCGAAGCAGATCGCGGAGCAGCCGCGGATCATCGACATGAAGTCGCTGACCGACGACGAGCGCAGAGCCAAGAGCGCGGAGCTCGAGGCGTCCCAGAAGGCCCAGGACGACTACGAGGCCGATTTAGGCAAGAAGCTGGGCCGCATCGCGCCGTCCGACGCCGCGGAGCTCGAGAAGCTCCAGGCCGCGGGCGCGGACAAGGCCGAGCTCGCCAAGTTCTACTGGCGGGCCCGCGACGCCGAGACGAAGCGCGTCGGCGCCCTCATGTCGCCCGAGGACCGCGCGTCCTTCTCCCAGCTCCTCGAGCGGAACGCGCCCCAGGACGTCTTGGACGACGCGTTCGACGCGATCAAGCGCCGCGTGGACCTGCACGCCGTCGTCAACGACCACCTGCCGGCGCCCATGCGCGCCGCCGTCTCGGAGAAGCTCGCGGCCATCGAGCGGGACGAGCCGGACCCGGAGAAGCGCAAGTGCGAGCAGTCGGCCGCGATCGCGCAGGCGTTCCAGCAGCACTTCCAGGAGGAGATGTCCGTGCGGCGCGTCGCCGCGAAGTTTTTCCAGCAGGTCATCAAGCCCTTCTTCTTCAAGGTCAAGGCCCGGCTCCTCGCGCCCTTCTCGGGCCTCTTCAAGGCCAAGGCGCCGAACCCCGCGGCGCCGCCGCCGCCGCGGACGCCCGCGGCGGAGAACGCGCCGGAGAAGCTCGCCAAGTACGCGACGAGCCAGGCGACGGCGCAGCTCGCCCACGACGTCGAGGGCATGCGCGCGGCGGGCCTCGGCAGCGCGGACATGGTCGCGCGCGCGAAGGAGGTCTTCAAGGCGAACGGCGAGGAGAAGCAGCTCGCGGCCGTCGAGCTCGGCGAGAAGATGAAGGCCGACGGCGCGTCGTCGGACGAGATCCTCGCGGCCATGCGCGCCCACTTCGGCGCGCCGCCGCCCGACGCGGACGTCGCGCACCTGCGGACGTAAGTTCCTAGTTAGGTCGCGAGCCAGTCGACCTCGCGCTTGTCCTGGGCGAAGAACTTGCCCGAGACGGGCTCGCAGAAGGGGATCCCCGCGAGGTGGATCGTCGTCGCGGCGCCGAGGCTCGCCGGGTCGCGGCCGCGGTGCGCGTTCTGGTCCGTCTTGCAGAAGCCCGGGTCCACGGCGTTGACCATGACGTCCGGCTCCGCGCGGGCCAGCGCGCGCGTCATCGCGATGATGCCGACCTTGGACACGCCGTAGCACGTGTTCGGCCAGCCCGCGGCCTCGTGCGTCCCCGCCTCGACGGCGGCGACGAAGGACCGCATGAGGTCCTCGAGCGCCGAGATCTCGAGATTCTCGTCGGACACGGCCGCGCGGAGCTCGGGCGACTTGACGATGGACAGGCGGCCCGCCGCGGAGGCCAGGTTGACGATGCGCGGCGACGCCGCGTCCTTGGCCGACAGCCGCAGGAGCGGCAGGCACGCGCGCGTGAGGCCGAGCGTGCCGAAGAAGTTCGTCTCGATCGTCAACCGAGCCTGGCGCACGAAGGGCGTGTGCGCGACGCGGCCGAAGAGCGTCGGGTCGTTGAAGCAGACCGCCGCGTTGTTCACGAGCAGGTCCAGGCGGCCGAAGCTCGCCTCGATGGACGCGACGCACGCGGCCCAGCTCGCCGGCTCCGCGAGGTCGAGTCGCGCGACGGCGACCTCGAGGCCGTAGTTCGTCCGCAGATCGCGAGCCGCCGCGTCGCCGAGGCCCGTGTCGCGGCAGCCGAGCACGACCGTGAACCGGGCCTTGGCGAGGCCCTTGGCGATCTCGAAGCCGATGCCCTTGTTGGCGCCCGTGACGAGCGCGACGCGCGTCGCGAAGTAGCGCTCGCCGCCCATGGCGAGGCCCGCAATTCCCGGCGCGACGACGGCGAAGCAGAGGGCGACGAACGCGGCGCGCATCCACCGCGCGCAGGCGACGAAGCTCTTGGCGCAGCACGGGATGAAGGCGGGCGGCCGGAGCTCAGGGGCGGGCGTCTGGTCGATGATGAATGCTGGTTGCATTCATTTTGCCACAAGGATTTTGATCTCTGAGCTGCTGCCCGCCGCGGTGCGGGCGGGTGCCGTCGAGTTGCGCGCCGGAACACGATCGTGGGAAGCACACTCACGCCTTCGCACCACTCGGCTGCACAAAAAAAAGCCAGCATGGGCGGCGGCGAGCCGCGGTCGCTCTCCGCCGCGGCCTTCGCGGCCGTGCGCGAGGCCCTGGAGCCGACGAAGCACGCGCCGGACAAGCACTTGTTCCTCGACGAGGCGGCGGCGGCGTCGCTGGGCTCGCCCGAGGACGTCGCGCTGCTGCTCCTGAGCGCGGAGCAGGGCACGGAGCGCCGCGCGCGTGTTGGCGCGGCCGCGTACGGCGCCGTGCGCCGGTCGTTCTCGGGCCGCGTCGGCGACGTGAAGCGGCTGCGGTCGCGGCTCGCGCGGGACCGCGCGGCCGTGGCCCAGAGCCGCGAGCTGCGGGCCGCGTCGACGCGCGACGGCCTCATCGCGCAGGGCGCGTGCGAGGGCGCGACGCGGTCCGCGCTCGCGGACGCGCGCCTCGTCCG